AAAATTATTTAGTTTAAATTTGAATTACATAGCACAAATACAAGTATGGAACTCATTCAAATTTTAATTACAAAAGTCTTTTCTTATAATTACTTGCTTTCTAGCTTGGAATTAATTTAGTGTGGTTTTTAAACTTTTCAAATATATATATATATATATATATATATATATATATATATATATATATATATATATATATATATATATATATATATATATATATATATATATATATATATATATATATATATATATATAGATATATATATATATAGATATATAGATATATAGATATATATATATAGATATATAGATATATATATATATATATATATATATATATATATATATATATATATATATATATATATATATATATATATATATATATATATATATATATATATATATATATATATATATATATATATATATATATATATATATATATATATAGTTGAGTAGCCACCTAACAAATAACTCTAATAAGGTCAGTTCCATATACAAAGAAAGTTTAAGAACAATTTAGTTAAAATACAAAGATATCTACCTCTGTTCTTGATAAAAAATGTATTATGTTAAGAATAGTCCTGTGAAGGGGTTTTTCTGAACAGAAGTTAATGTGTGGAAAAACATTTTAAAATATTTTTTTAAAATTAATTTTCTTTTTATCTAACAATACTCTTTTCTAATATTAATAGACAAATAATGGGCATGTTTGAATAAATTTGCAACAACAAAATTATACATAGGAAATTAGTTTTTTTTTTTAAAAAAACTATTCTTTATTATCTGTAAATAAATAAATGTCTTTTAAATCATTTCATAATTTTATATTATCTATTTGCCCTACAATTTCTTTTAGCACCGATGTCACTTTATCTTGCGATTGCAAGATTTGTGATTGAAACCTCTATTTGATTTAAGATAACAAGGTCAATTTAGGGATTGTTACTAACTTGTAAGTAAATGTTGTTTTCTTATTTAAATATGAAAACAACATTTACACTAAATTAGGTACTTAAAAGGTAGTATATTTTTAAAAATAAAAACTGTCGGGTTTCAAATCGGTTTTAACCCATAACCAAAAAATGCAGTTTTTGGTCAACTAATGAAATGGCTAACTAAACAAATGAAAGCTAATGTAAATGAAAACGGTCGGTTTTCAAAAACAGTTTTGGCGGGTTTTTTGTCTTTTAAATGTTTATTTATTATAGGAAAGTATAATAAATCTAATTTGTAAGTAATTTTTATTTAACTATTTAGATATTATTTTGCTGGAAAACATAACTCGTCTTTTCATTTTCAAAATTATTCAAGTATTCCAAAAAAATATTTGAATATTGAATAAAACACTTAAATATATTTGAATATAAAGTATTTAATACACAACAAATTTATTTGCTGAATGATTCAACAAAGAGGAAATCATCTTCCTAAAAGTCCAACAACTGTGATGAATTTAATCCATCAAGATTTTTCTGATATAAAAGAAGTGATGAAACTTTTTGAAAAAATTAAAATGAAACATAAATTCAGCTTAACAGATGATGGATACGCATCTTTGAGGCACAGAAGATACATTGGTGTCAACCTGCATGAAAAGGAATTTAAGAAAACCTATAAAACTGGCTTCATTAGGATTTATTTATTATGGTTCCTGTCCAGCTGAAAATTTAATACAAAATATTAAGGGTCATTTGAATTCATTTTGTGTCTGTATGGAAAGAGACGTAATAGGTTCTACTCAAGATGGTGCAGCAATCAACAAGAAGTTCATGCAGTTAATAAACATTGTTGATCAATTTTGGTGTATGTAACACGTTATACAAGAAAAATAAATACATAAATGTACCAGTTCCCAAGGAAACAGACAGTGATCCAGAAGAGGATGAACATGGAATTTACGATAATAATTGTAGTTTTGAATCAGTAAACAATGAGATTAATGATGACTACCCTGAAATTTTGATGAATGCACAAAAAGTAGTAAAACTCATAAGTGTCATCAGTTCATAAATAAATTTTTCAGAAGAAAGTTACTGAGGAATTTGGTAAAAAAATCAAACTGCATCACGATGTTTGTCATCGTTGGAATTTACTTTTTTCGAGGACTGCACTTTTGTTAAAAACTAAGAAATGTAGTAAATGTCTTGTTCCAGACATTTACTGAATTAAATGCTCTTGACGTAATCAACTAACTAGATTTTAAGTCATTAGCTTCATTACATTTCGCTTTAGAGCCAGCAAAACTAGCTGTGGAATTCCTTAGCAGAGAAGATGCATCGTTATCGACAGCAGATACTGTTCTTGAATTCATTCTTTCAAAACTATTTGCTATGAATACAGAAATTGCATCTTTATGTATTCAAATTTAAAAAAACGCATTAATGAAAGAATTAACAGAAATGTTAAAGTTGTTAATGTGCCTAAAAGATCTTTTAGTTGTTCCATTAAATACTTTCAATTTTGCTGGAAAACTTGCCTTTAGGCTTTCTGGACTTCTAATGATGAGGAACCACTGCTAGCTAAAGCAACATGTACAACATCGAAAAATTCACCTGTTTCTCTTAAGGATGAATTAAATGTTTTTCTCAATAAAGATAGTTTCACACACTTGCCTAAATTTACTGAGCAATTCAAGTGGCTTAAGCAAGAGTTTTTTTTGTATCGAAATACAGGCAAAAGAACAGAAAGTTTTGAAAAAATTTATAATGTGATGCTCTCTATAAAGCCCACCTCTACAGATGTTCAAGGCATTTTTTTGAGCTGCACTAGTTTCTGCACCAAAATCAGATCACGATTATCTGATAAATGGTTAAAATCAATAGTTTTCTTAAAATTGTTTTACAATAAAAATAAGTCATTGTAAGTTTTATTTCAAAATATAAACATGTTAGAACACTTTGTTTAAATAACTTTTTTAATAAATATTGCAAGATAAACTTACATAAGTTTTATTATTTAACAAGAAAAACCAAAACTGCGGTTTTTTGGAAACGCTAACTGGCTAAAAATTTTTAATTATTCTAATTCATTCCCAACAAGACTGCAATCAACCACTACTAAGTTGGGATTACTAGAAAACAAAGAATAGAAATAAAGAGCATGGAAATGGTTAATAAAAGGATTTGAAAAGTTGTATGTTGTATGAGATCAAGAAAATGTGAAGATGGGCAAGAACTTTAAAGGGTTAAAGTGCGGGAGAAAAAACTAGATAAAGATTAAATTCATGATAGATAGAAAAACAAGGCTCAAGTTAAGTTATAAAAAAAACCACAAAAACAACAGTGAAATCAGAATCGCAAAATAAGATATAAAATACTTTTGTTTCTTATTCAAAATTTAATTCAAAATTTAATTTTGAATCTTATTCAAAAATTTTTTACAAATCAAATAACCATAATTAAATATAAATTTAAAGAAGTTATAGTTATTTTAAACCAAAACAAAAATACTTCAATAATTTATTTGAAAAAATATTTTTTCTATTATCAATTATTAAAGTTCTAATTTAAAATATTTAAATTTTTGAATAAATAATTCCTCAAAGTTTCCCTCTAAACAAAAGTTGATGTTAATTTTTACATACAATGCGCAAATAACTTTATAATTTTTTATTGATTGATTTTTAAATTGCAGTGTAAATTTTGAGGACCTTTAGTAATTTAATAGTAAATAGTTATAGGGAGAAAAAAAATAGTAATTTTTTTTTTTTCTATAACTGTTTTTTCATTAATTTTTGAAATATGACAAATTGATCGTTTCATTAAAACATTGTTTATGGTTTTTAATAAACTGAGAATTTAAGGACTAGAAATATTTCCACATATCTCAATTCACCATCACTTAATTCGAGCCTTGTGAATAAAAGTTTTTAGAGCATGCAAGGACAGGTACATTAAAAGAATGAGACTTTGCTGAATAATAAGTCAAGCATAAATGAGTTTTAATTAATGATAATAGTACGTTTGAGTAGTCACCGTGATAGTAATTGTAGAAAAGTGAAAGAAATGCAACCTTACAATAATGGAAGAGTGGCTTAAGCTTAGCTAATAAAGCAGGGCCAAATATGGTTACAATCAATTTTTGGGCCTTGTCTAAAAGATAAAGAGCATCATTAAAAGAACCAGCCCAAATATGACAACAGAGGAGACTTTTTGTCATGACAGAAGTATAAAGTTGAGTCGTGAGCAAATAGAGCCACTTCATATGTAAGGTTTTAAGAAAGATTATTATTAATGTAGATAAAATGCAAAACAAAACCAAGGATAGAACCTTGATAGAGGTACTACAGAAGTTACTGGAAATAATGAAGAGTGTTTGTTTTTAACGATGACAATGATGACCACAGGTTTTGGGGACTTTTTTAACAATTATGCTTGTTACAAAAAAGTGCAACTTGTACATTTGGCCATATTTTGGTCCATGTTATACAGAAATGTTATAGAACTTGCTACCAACCCACTCATATTTGGTTTTAAAATAAATTGGAAATTTATTTTGATTGTTTCAAAGTCCTGCATTTGTAATAAAATCTTAAAAAAGAATTATTCACGTTATGCAGTATGCTACCAACCCATTCATACTTGATTTTAAGATGTTATACCAACCCATTCATACTTGATTTTAAGATAATGTTATTTTAAAAAAGTACCGGTTGTGGCTAACATTTGAAAATTTAACCATCATTTGAAAATTAAGATAAAAATCTTGGTTGAAAAATTTAAGATATACTTTCTTGAAAGAGAATATGAAACTTATTTTGTTTTATATTAAATTTTTTGATATTTAAACTAATAAAGTTGTATAGCCTACTTTTTGATGGTCTCAATTATTTTTTCTATTCTGTTCAAAAATGCAAATCATATTCTATAAAATTATGTTAAATGATGCAAAAAAATTTGTTTATATGTGTGTGCATGTGCATATATATATTTATATATATATATATATATATATATATTTTTTTTTTTTTTTTTTTTTTTTTTTTTTTTCAGAAAAACAAGTTGAAACAGCAAATGCATCAAAGAAAAAAATGTTTAAAAAGTAAATTTTTTTTTTTTTTACTTTTAAACAGAAAATTTATTTAAAATTACTAGCTTTGTTAAGAATAATCTGCAATCACTATAAGTTAGTTTATAACAAATTTTTATTTGACAACTTGACCACACTTTTTTGAATAAATTGATTATTAGCGTGTTTTATATAATGTTTTGGAAAAACCAATTTAATGTAAAGAGAAAATTAATATTAAACCATAAACTGAAAAGAGAAACAAACTTAATAAATTATAAAATAAATAAAAGATAAACCAGAAAAAATAAAGCATAAAACTAATATATTTTTTAATTAGAAAATGTAAATTCCATTATTAGTTCAAATTTAATTTATTTAAGTTGAAAGCATTTCAATTAATAGTTAAAACTAAAAATATTTCCTATATCCCACGTTGATGTAGCTCTTAGGTTGATTATTTGTGTCATTTACAAGGCGCGATTGTCGCATTGGAAGAGAGTTCAAATCTTTCTAAAGGATTTTTTTTTTTTTAATGTTTTATTTTCTTTGTAGAGATTAGATAATATCAAAGTTTCAAATTATTATGTTTCAATGTAATTAAGCTTGTATTGAATTTATTCAATGTAATAAATAATGTAATTAACCTTGTATTAAATAACTTTAAAACTTCAATTTTTTAAAATTAAAATAAAAACATTAATTTTATGCTTTTATTTTTTCTGGTTTATTTTTTATTCATTTTATCATTTATTAAGATTTAATCTTTTTAGATAAGCTTTGCATTTTTTTTTTTTTTTTTTAGTTTTTATTTCTCTTTCTAGTTTATAGCTTGTTTATTTTAAGTTTTTTAGTTTATGTTTACATTTATTTATTCAACACATTTTTTCAAACACCCTAAAAACGCAATAGCTATGACCAAGTTTTCAAAATATTATGTGCATGGTCATATATGACATGCGACCGCACGCATCTTCTTTATATTTTCAGTTATTATCATAATAAGTTAACTTTAAATTTTCTATATTTGAAGTGTTAATGTCAATATTTTTTTCAAAACCAAAACATTTTATAGTAATATTACATGAAGTTCAAAATTTCAAAATTTTTTAGATTACCTGATAATCTGGAAATATATGATGTTTCTGAAGAAAAATTAAACAATGTGGTTTCTAATGAAGTTGTGGTTTCTGATGAAGCAACAATTTTTAAAAACAATAATAATGGAAAAGCATCAACTACTAGTAAAGATGACTCTCTATTAGTTAGTGCTGATAAAAAAAATTTGTTGGGTGAAACTGCAGGATCAAGTAGTGATATGGCATCAATTGAGGATGGGTCAAGTCACATAGATATTAATCACGATGAAGATAATGGATCATGTCAAGTAGATAATGATGACAAAGATGATATTGACTATGTTGTAAATAAATATTTAATTTTATTCCACAATAATCTAAGTTGTTTAAAAAATGTTTTTGCAAAAAATACATGATTAATTATAAATGTATATTTATGAATTGTTTCTGCATATTTACATTATTTTTACATCCTTAGTTTTGTATGTATTATATATAGAAAACAAATATAATTTATTTTTTATATATAATTTGTGTACATACAATGTTAGATTCAAAATGACGATGATGATAATGATGATGACAGTGATGAAGAGTCAGATGATGGGTCTGAGTATAGTGAGGATGATGGGTTTCAAGACTCTGAAGGAGTGCAGTTTCAGCAAGGATCTGAACAAGTATTTAAAAAAATTTTAAATTTTATGAATGTTTTTGTGTGTGTGTCAGTGTGTTAGCCAGCTTGATGGCACCATGTATAACGCGGTATTCCCAATTGGTTTAAACTTCCCAAAAGTTCATAAGATCGTAGTAAAAAAAGTTAAAAATTAAATCAGTTCACATTTAAAGTGTTGCGCTAGACAAGTTAAAAATGCAAAATGCATGATGAAAAAATAAATTGAATTGATCGATTTTTTTTTATGTGTAAAAACGTGTCATCATTAACAAGCGTCATTAAGATTAACAAGATTATTCATTCAAAAGTTTAAAAGAAAAAGGTTTTTCAATATGTTTTATTTTATTTTTTAATATATTTTTTAATTTATTTAAATTATTTATTAATTAATTAAATTGATTTATTTTTATTATTCACAAAAACTTTAAGTTTTTGCTGTTTATCTCAAGTTAGTCAAGCTACAAAAAAATTCGCATAATAATAAATATTATACTTTAAAATAAGTTAATAACGTTTTTATCATAAAAGATTTATTAATACTTTTGGTAAAATAAATTAGCTAGTAAAGTAAACCGAAAATAACAACAAAAATAATCAAAAATAAAACTTGCAATGAAATGTATTATCTATGTTATATTTGCGTAAAACATAAAAGAAGATAATTAAATAATATTATAATATTATTAATTACCTTCTTTTATGTTTAACCAATATTGAATACATTTTTTCATTTAAATACCTAATTTACCAGATATTTAAATATGCCAATTAAATTTAGTTGCTGACCTCGTGCGGTGAATGAATCTCGCTCTGCCTCCTAAATGTCTTTGTTACTTATCTAAATTAAGGTACCATATTGCAACAAAAGTTCTTTTATATTTTACGGAAATCAGCGAGCCAACCAAGTTTTTCTATTAAAAATTATTAAGATTTCGAAAACTTTCATTTAATTTTTATTTAAAAGCTATTGATTTAAATAAGTTTTTAAACTATTAAATTTATCTAATGATAAAAACTATAATATAAAATATGATGAACAATAATACAAATATTGTTAAAAAGTTTAAAATATTTTTATAAGTATTTTAAAATACTAATGCGTTTAAATACTTATATATTCAAGTATGAATATTTCTTCAGAACTAATCATTTAAACCTTTTAAAACTGTATTTACAAAGAGATGTATGCAATTAAAATAGATTAAAAGTTTCAATGAAGTTTAATAATTCATTCATTAAAACTGCAAACAATTGTCTTTTGTTCTTGTTTTCTCTCTATACTATACTGTAGCTGTTTTTCAAAACGTCTCAAGGTAAAAAAAAAATTAATTTTGGCTTTTTTACAAAATAAGCTAGTTTAGATGTCTACAAATGTTATTGAATACATATTTTCAAAGAATTCTAAAAAAATTTGATTTTGATTAAAATTTAATTGTATCTAAAAAATGTGAAATTAATCTGCTTTTTTAAATGTCAGAATGTACCTCTTTTTTTTTTATTTTTTTAGCAGCACCTAAATTCCCAATTTTGCAAAAATGCTGTATGAAATTTTTTTCCTTGCTAACACCTGTGTGTGTGTGTATGTGTGTTCATGTGTGTGACTATTAAGGTGTACAGGTTTAAAAAAAACCTTTACTTTTGAATTATATTTACTAAAACAAAAGTTAATGATTTTAAATTAAATTATTTAAGTTAAATTATTTAAAAAAAACCATAATATATTAAATACAGATTTTTTATTTTTTGGATGTATCTATATGTTTTTGTCACTTTATTTCTTTACTGAAATCATAAAGGTTTTCTAGAAAACTTATTGTTTTTTTATTTATTAAGATATTTTTAATTCATGATATTAAATATTGTTTTAATATAATATATTATAAAAATAAATTTTTAATATATTGTATTTAAATAACAGGCACAGCCCAGTGGTTAGAGTTCTGACTAAGAACTAAGAGGTTTGAGGTTTGATGCTGCCTCTAGCCAAATAAGCGAAATAGGTAATGAAGGAGGCATGAACAAAACTTTTTCAATATTTTATTTTTTTATGTTCTCTTCCAAGGTTTCATATGAAGTTACATTTTGTGCAAGGTTACATAAAAAGCTAAAATATGTGCTAAGAGACAAAAACCTTCCTAATGTGCTTGAGTTGCACAGATATTTAGTTGTCACTTGTAACTTTAGAACTTTCAGATTTAAAGCTTATATGAAAAATATTGTGATTAATATTGGTAAGTTGTTTTCTTTTGTTGTAAGTTGTTGTTGTTTTCTTTTGATGTTCTTTTGGTGCTCAATGGTTGTCTTGTATTAATAAATCTCCTAAAAGTCATAAAGAGGGGAGCATCATTTTGATATTCTAAAACAAAGTTGCAAGTTTCCTTTTTTTATTTTATATTTTTATTTTGTTTTAACTAAAATTAAATTAATATTTGCATTTAATTGTATTAAATTATCTATAACACTAAGAAAATTTATGTTCCCTCTTTCTATTTTAAGTATTAGGTGATCCTAGAGCTGTGCCATATATGCTGAATATAAGTGTTTATTACTAAATATAAGTGTTTCTTTTTGTGCTTTATTTTTGTAATTTATTTGTGTTTATTTTTATATTTGTATTTTTATAAATTTTAATTATTGTGGTCATTTCCACTTTATTATTTTATCATAATCATCATAATCAATCATTATTATAATCATAACTGAGTTCATTTTGGTAATATTAAATAAAATGTGAGTAGCCTTAGGGAGCTAAATTAAAAATATATATAAAGATAAACTGTATTTTAGTTTATTACAAATAATAAACTTTAAAAATAAATTTAGGTTGGTAAAGATAGTGGTACAACAGCTGTTGTTGCTATGCTTCATGGAAATAAGTTGTATGTTGCAAATGCTGGAGACTCTAGGTGTGTATTATGTCGTAATGGAAAAGCAATTGACATGTCTATTGACCATAAACCTGAAGATGAGCTTGAAAGAAAAAGGATAAAAAATGCTGGATCAAAAATTACCTCAGATGGAAGAGTCAACGGAGGACTAAACTTATCGCGTGCTATAGGTCTGAAATAATATATAGAATTAAGAATTTTTATTTTTTATTTTTATAAATATATGTATTATTATTTTTATAAATATATGTATTATATTCTTATCATAAAACCATAGAGGTTATCTGTCTGTCTGCTTGTAGACATTTTTGTTTCCTGATTTCGAAATTTGAAAACTATATTGCAATGAGAAAAAGTAACAAATGAACTTTGTTTTTAATCGATCTGAAAGGGATCTTAGCAAAAAAAAAAATTAATATTAGGTTGATTATCTTAATTAGGTAAAGCTCTACAATTTTAATTTTTTTGTTAATAATTCTTAATAAGGTTGGGCTCTACATTTTTGATTTTTTTGTTGATAGTTCTTAATTAGGTTGGGCTCTACGAGATTGATTTTCTTGTTGTAAATTCATAGTTACAATTTTAATTTTTTTGTTGATAATTCTTAATTAGGTAGAACTCTATAATATTTTGTTTGCTTACATTTTAATTTAGCCGGTCATTTTACTATTATTAATTTTTTTTTTTTTTTTTTTTTTTTTTTTATTAGAAAAAATTATTTTCTTTTTAAAGTCTAATAACAATTCAGTTCATCAATTTTAAGTAATGATGCTTTTCTAAGAAAAGTCCATAAAGTGCCCACAGTATATCCCAATTGTATAATTTTCTTTACATACTTATAAAGAAATTTTAGGAATTAATAGCTTAATTAACTACTTTGCTGACATGTTTCCTCGTCTGATCCTAACAAAAAGAAAATATTTTTTAAACATTAAGCATTTAATATCTAAAATGGTTTATACATACAATTTATCTAATGTTTAACTTTATTGGTTTAAATATATGAAATAGAACTCTATTGCCTTAGATTTTTTTTGGTTAAACTTAAGATATCTTTAGTTAGCATCTTTTACATTTTATCTGTAAATATGGAGTAAACTAAATTAACAGTCAATATTGTTCGAATATTTTTATGAGGTCATTTTTGAGGATGCTATGCTATTTGAAATTTTCTTAAGGATGACTTCACTTTCTTTCTCTTCTTTTGATTTATTAACATATTTTGAATTGACTTCTTTAATAAAATAAAATATACCATTTATTAAAATATTCTATTATCACTAGGAGATCACAACTACAAACAAAATAAATCTATTCCTTCAGAAGAACAAGCGATTACTGCATGTCCTGATATACAAGAACTTTTACTTTCTAAGTATGTTTATTAAAAATTATTAAAAAAACCTTTTAAAATTATTTTTATTTATGTTGCTTTTAATTTGTTCAAAGCAACATAATTTATATAACTGAATTTATTTTAGAGAAGACTCTTTTATGGTGTTAGCATGCGATGGAATTTGGTGGGTGATGCTAATGAAAAATATTTTTAATTTTTTGTTTGTTTTGCTTTTTATTTTATCCAATAAAAATTAATTATTAGAGCTGATTGTTAATTAAAATATTTAGGAATGTTATGTCGAGCGAAGAAGTAATACAATTTGTAAAAAAAAGAATTGATGAATCTGATGAAAAAATAAAACTGTCAACAATATGTGAAGAAGTAAGTATACAAAAAAATAAAACGGTTTGTATTATGGGGATGAGCAAAGCATGTGTGCATACATTATCTGTAATCTCAAAAAATATTTCTATTTAAACTATAAAAGTAATAAACATAAAAATGCATAAAACAATTTTTTTTTTAGGGGTGGAGGGGATATTAAAACATTATTACAGGTTTATTGTTTTTATTATATATATATATATATATATATATATATATATATATATATATATATATATATATATATATATATATATATATATATATATATATATATATATCGAAAATAATTTAAAATGGCAATTCAGGGATATTAGTAAAGCTTAATGAATTATTATTTTTTATTTGGCTCAGTTAATTTCAATTTTATATTTATCGTATGTAAGTTATAAAGAAGTATTTGTATTTTTTACTCAATTTTTATTTATAATGTGCAGGTTCTTCTTTTTGTTTTTATATTGCATATACAGTATCGGACAAAACAAGTACAACCAAATAATGCTAATTTAGTTTCTTTATATAAAAGTGCTGCATTTTTTCAATTTCAATGTAACTGTTTAGAGATAACGTTCTTCAAGTTTTATTCGTCACAAAGTTCATTATTTGTACACGAAAATTAATAAATTAATCAAAAGTATTAAAAGAAGTTGATTTCCTTCTGGACAAAACAAGTGCAATTTCGCTATCAATATTTCGTGGCGAATCCTTTGTTGTCGATCACATCCTTGCATCTTCGAGGCATAGATTCGATCAGGTGATCAATGAAACTTAGTGGAATCGCTGCCCAGGCCTTTTGGATTTGTTCAAACAGTTGATCCTTATTACGAACACCTTCACGATTAATTCTGCAGTTGACGATCTCCCACAGGTTCTCGATAGGGTTGAGATCCGGAGATTGAGGCGGCCAATCCATCATCGATAGGTGGCTGTCTTGAAACCACTGCTTGACTACTTTTGCAGTGTGTTTCGGATCGTTTTCTTGCTGAAAAACCCATTTTATTGGCATATTCCATTCAGCATGAGGTAACATAACATCTTTCAGGATATTTTTATACATGAAACGGTCCATTATTTCATCTATTCGATGTATTGGACCTAGATCGTTAGCAGAAAAACACCCCTAGACCATTACATTGCCTCCACCATGCTTCACGGTCTTATGACAGTAACGTAAATCGAGGCGTTTTCCAGCCGGTCGACTTACACGGCAAATGCCATCGCTCCCAATCATGTTGAACTTCGATTCATCACTGAACAAGACAGTTCGCCATTTCTGCACATTCCAGTCAATATGAAAGGAGTCTTTTTCTGGTTCTTTAGTGAAATCAGCGGTTTCTTTGCAGGGCGTCGAAAAAACAATCCGGCTTCAACAGCACGTCTGATTGTTCGGTCCGATACAGGCAGCTCTAATTGCTTTTGTATCTCGACTGATGATATCCAGGGATCTATCTTGACAGATCTGACGATCATAGAATCCTCTCTAGAAGTGGTGAAACGCGGTCTTCCACCTTTGTTATCTGCTAGCAACTTCCCCGTAGAACGATATTTGGAACATAGTCTTGATACGGTCCATTTTTTCACGCGATATTTATGACAAATACTTTTTGGTGACATTCCACTTACGTAATCTTTACATGTCTTTTATATAGTAAAATAATTCTGTGTGAACCTGTTCTGGAAGACTCTAGATGCTTCTTTTCGATGCTTCTGAATGTTTCTGGGTACTTCTGGATGCTTCTAGATGCTTCTTCTGGAAGCTTCTGCATGCTTCTGGAAACTTCTGAATACTTCCTTTAATTATTAAAAAACTTCCGTGACGTTGACACGGACCAGACTTAAGAAAATGAAACAAACCAAAAAAGTTCCACTTGTTTTGTCCGCTGCAAAAATGGCACTTGTCAGCGAAATTTTGCCTGTGTTCTGTCACCTGTCAGCTGATTGCTCATGTTATGGTATGCTATGACTCCAGACTCCTGAACTGTTTGCTGTGGTAGTATAGTTCGTTTCGCTTTTAAGACATGTAAAAATAGGAACACTTTTTAGCATTGTTCGATGTTGGTTGCAAATGTTTTGTCCAATACTGTGTGTGTGTGTGTGTGTGTATATATATATATATTTTTTTTTTTTTTTTTTTTTTTTTTTCTGCCGTAATAGAAAATTTTGCTTTTATAAACAAAAAAAATTTGTCTTCACCCGTTAACACCTCAGTCCGTACACTTGCTTTGTCCACGTCTATCCCAATGTCATATTGACATTGAAATTAGCGGAAGAAAACAAATGTGACGTTTTGTGTAACGCTTATTTGACACTTCAAATGAAACATTTTCATTTTAATACGTTAATTTATATTAATATACATGTCTATTTTTACGTAGTATACTTTTAAAATGCTTATGCTTTGTAGTTTTTACGTATTATTTATGTTTTTTTTACGTATTATATATGTTTTTTTTTTCTTTTATCAACAGCTTTTTGACAAGTGCTTATCACCTAACACAGAAAATGATGGTTCTGGCTGTGACAATATGACTTGTATTATTGTTCGTTTTAAACACCAAATATTAGAGAATAAAATTAGCCAGAAAAGAGCAAACGCCGATGAACAATATATTCCTAATAAAAAACAAAAGAAATAACAGAACTATAAAGGAACTATAGGCGTGAAATCTTAAACAGTGAGGTGTTATTTCTTGGAGTCGAAAAAATGGCGTTGTTTACAATTCGACGACTATTCTTTTATTATAGATGCCAAATGGTATTTTTAAATAAACAGTTTTAATAACTATGTTAATTTATTTCGTTTGATTTTAATTATGAACGCATTATATCAGTCTTTTATTAAAAAAGACATTGAAAACGGTGTTCGATTCTTGGTTATTTCTCGTTATTGGTAATGTCACTCGACCATGTCGTAGATTCTCTTGACATTTTTTGCTTTATGCTACTGTTTTAGTTTCTAATATTTTGTATAACGAATCATTCAGTGTTGCATAAGAAATCCGAATAACTGTTGTTAAACGATTCCTAAAAATATTTACGAACGTTACAATGTATTTAAAATACGCTATATAAATTGAAATCAAATTAATATTTCGTTAATTTTCCATTGACGTTAGTAGTGATGCTGTTTATTTTATGTGCGGATTTTATTATAGGGGTTCAGAAATTTATATACATTTGAATTTCTTTCATATTTCTTTTCAATAAACTTCAAGCGATACTCTTAACAAAGCTCAAAATCTTACCCCCTACTTAGTTTGGTATTTATTTTAAAGATTGGCTTCAATAATAAATTTCTTTAAATTGATGTGTAATGATTTTGATATGTTTTTATAGCTCCTATAAGTATCTGGGTCTTATTTCAATTATTGATTTGTATTATATTAATGCAAGTTACTATTTTTCAACTTCAGAATATTAATCTAAAAATGCCTTGTTTTATTTAAAGTTTAAAAATCAAGAAGCTCTTAAACGAACTTTGACAAAACCCAAATCTGATAAAAATTTGACTAGTGAATAAACCGAAAATTTTTTGAGGACTAGCGGCCATGATATGGTTTTGAGACACAATTTTTTAGGTCCCTACGCGAGGATCAATTTCATCGTGGTACGATAATATAATTATTTTTTTATTTTATTTAGGTGCCCTAAGAAGTCCTTACGGTCTTATCACAGCACCGCGGATGAGCATTCAACAGGAAGTTCACGCCTCCCTTCTAGCCGATGTCGCAAAGCTTGCCCAGAGGTGGGGTTAGAACTACGGATCCTTTGTTTCTGAGGCGTTACCACTGCGCCACTGCTGTTTAATCATAATAGCATTTAAAGCGAGTTGTAACATATATATATATATATATATATATATATATATATTTATATATATATATATATATATATATATATATATATATATAAAATAAATATATATAATATATATATATATATATATATATATATATATATATATATATATATATATATATATATATATATATATATATATATATATATATATATATATATATAAATGTTGTTATAACTCCTCGTATGTATTAAGAACTCATGCAAAAAAAAATAGTTTGTTGTGAGAGTACCAAAACGCAAAACTAATAAACAAATTTCGTGTTTCTGACTGAGATTGTAACTTTTTTTCTGTGCTTTTCCACTCAGCACAATCTATATAATTATTATTTGGATATATATATATATATATATATATATATATATATATATAAAGAGAGAGATTTATATAAAATACAGTTATTCGCACCGATACATCCGTGTGAATAAAAGAATTAATCTTTTTTTATTAGTTCTTCATAATATTCGTGAAAAACTATTTTCTTTAATTGTTCAAAATGTAACAACTAACCGGTTTCAAACGTTTCTAAAAAAAAATTATTTTGAAAGGATATTGACATTATATAATTTATTTAAAATTGCGGAACTACCTTCTGTAAGTAATACTTTCGAAATTTAAACTTAGGTAGGTAGAATTTTTTTTTTTTTTTTCATTTTTTTTTTTTGTTCTTTATTACAATATTTATGATACAGATACAAATAATATTAAAAAGAAAAAAGAAAAGGTAACAAGTCAAGATATCGTTAAGTAATAACGTTAAAGAATAAAAATAATTATAAAGAACGCGGATACTCAAAGAAGGTCTTATCAAGTAAAATACAAAAAACTCAGACCTCATTTTATGATTTTTTGTTACCTTTTGATAAAAATATTTCCTCTGAAGAATTATCTGCTGAACTATCATTTGATGAGTTTGAGAAAGCTTTTAAATCTTTAAAAAAGAATAAAGCACCTGGTGCAGATGAAATAAACGGGAATATTGTTATAGATTGCTATGAACAATTAAAAAATATTCTTTTCAAAATTTTCAGAGCATCTATTCATCAAGGTATTTTTCCTGAACGTTTAAAACTTGCCAGAGTTACCCCTCTCCATAAAGAAGGCGACAGATCCAATATCAATAATTATCGCCCTATCTCTGTTCTTTCTATATTTTCTAAAATTTTAGAAAGAATTATTTTCAATAGAGTATACAATTATTTTAATTACAACAATTTATTATATAACAATCAGTATGGTTTCAGAAAAGGGAGCTCAACTGAACATGCCATCATTCAATTTATACATAACATCTCTAAATCTTTTGAAAAATCTCAATACACACTAGGTGTCTTTATTGACCTATCAAAAGCTTTTGATACGGTCGATCACCACATCTTAATCCAAAAAATTAAATATTATGGTTTAAACAATAAAATTTTAAAATGGTTTGAAAGCTATTTAACAAATCGAAAGCAACTTGTATATAGTAATGATGGTTATCAAAGTGAACCCCTGAGCATAACTTGTGGTGTTCCACAAGGCTCTATTCTCGGACCACTACTATTTTTAATCTATGTAAACGATTTAAACAAAGCTTCCAAATTGAAAAGTATAATGTTCGCTGATGATACTAATCTTTTCTTATCCCATACTGATATTTATGAACTCTTTTCAACTACAAACAAAGAACTCAAACACATTTCGAACTGGTTCAAAGCTAATAAATTAACTTTAAATATTAACAAAACAAAATGGATTATTTTTCACTCCTGCGCAAAAAAACGATTTTTAACAAATAATATGCCTCAAATTTACATTGATGAAACTATAATAAAAAGAGATACTGTTATAAAATTCTTAGGTGTTTATCTTGATGAAAATATTACTGGGAGAAAGCATATTGATCATATAAGCACCAAAGTTTCTAAAAATATTGGCATTTTATACAAAGCTCGAAATTATCTAAACAAAAAAAACTTAACCCAGCTCTATTATTCATTTATACATAATTATATAAATTATGCAATCATAGCCTGGGGAAGTACGGAGAAAAGTAAATTACAACATCTTTATCGCCGTCAGAAACATGCAATCCGTGTAGTTAATTATGCGGATCGCTTTTCACGTTCGAAATATTTTTTTGATTATATGAATGTACTAGATGTTTATAAACTTAACATATTTAATGTTTTATGTTTTACTTTTATGTGGAAAAACGATTTATCTTTATTTGTTTTCAATGACCTTTTTTCTTTAAAACCAATAAATAAATACACATTAAGAAGTATTAGTTTTCTAAATGAACCATTTTGTAAAACGAAGTTCAACCAATTCTGTATTGCATATCGTGCACCCCATCTTTGGAATAAAATAGTATTACCAAATTTTGACCCTTCTACTACTCTTCCTATTTTTAAAACTAAATTAAAAAACTTCATTCTCTGTATGGACAACATTCTAAAATTCTACTAAAAATTTATGTAAAATGTATTTTTCAAATCTTCAGCATATTGAGTATTAAAATGTTAGTATATTGTATATTTGCATTATGTTATATTGTATTAGTATATTGCATATTTGCATTATGTTAAATCTTTGCATTATGTCTTTTTTAAGGTTCCGGTGATAAGATCCTTCTGATCTTCTTTCGGAAACCTAGTCTTATATTGTTAGTACGCTGAATTGTATATACATATATATATATATACTCATTTTTTTTTTTCTTTTCTTGTAGAAGTCTTAAATATTTTTATGTATCAGACTTATATTATTATATATCACGACTTATATTATTATATATGTATCAGACTTATATTATTATATATCACGACTTATATTATTTTGTATCACGACTAACATTGTAAACTAAAAATAAAAAAAAAAAAAAAAAAAAAAAAAAAAAAAAAAAAAAAAAAAAAAGGTCACAGAGAAACTTGCTATTTAACGTTTTTTTTTTTTTTTTAATTTTTTTTTATTGTTATTATTATTTTTTTTTCAATGTTTTCATTCTTTGTAATTATTTATTTTTGTTCATTTTCTTTTTATTACAAAATTAAATTTAATAATAAAAGTATATAAAGTTCGTAATAATATTATAAATAAACATACAATATTACAATATAAGAGTTCTAAAACGTAAAAACTAAAACATGTTAAATAATTCACTAAAATAAAACACGTTAAATAATTGCTTGTTGATAAAAAAAAATAAAAATAAAAACAACCTTCCAGCGAAATAATTAAAAAAATAAATAAAATAAGAGATAATCATGAAAGTTATCAATCACAAAAAAATAGCGTCATGTTTTATTAAAAATAATGCTATTAAATAAGTATTTAGGGGTGAATAATAAATATCAACAAAAATATATGTATATAAAAAAAGGAAAACAATTAGTAAAAAAAAGCTAAAAAAAATGTAATAATTTTAAATAATTTATTTAATTGAATACCTTTTATATTGTTTTTAAAAAAGATATTTGAAATCTAGTATATCGATAACTTTTAGGTTGTCGGATACAAGTATTCCTAGGTAGATGATAGCATCAAAAACCTATTCCGACGTTTGAAGTTTTGTGTAAATTGATGACCCAATAATATATTGATGTTTTATTTAATTGCGTACGTAAAAAACTAAGTATATATTTATAATTAACTTGCACTTGAGTAAATAATTAGTTGTCTTGAGGTACATAAATTTGTCTTGTCGCCTGGCGACGCGGGATCGATTCCTCTTTGGCGCAAATGTTTTTGTGTGTACTTTTATGTTATATTTTAAAGTTTTTAGCTCTAGTTTTATGCGTTATGTCTAAGATTATTGTCAATGCGTAATGTCCGTGATTTTTGTCAATAAAAAGTTAAATTGTTTATAAAATTTTTTTTATTATAAAAATTGGGAAGTGTACACACATCGTCTGACTTAAACATGTAAAACAAGAAGGGAGTATACATACATCGACTGACTAAATAGGCAGAACATGCAGGATATGTACATACATCTACTAAGGGTTTCAGTTTAAACAGGCAATAATTAAAAAAAAATTTTGTTTTAAAAAGTGTTTAAAAATCAAGGCAAACACTTATTTTGGTATATTCCGGTCATCAATTTACACAAAACTTCAAACGTCGGAATAGGTTTTTGATTCTATCATCTACCGTATTCCTAGGTCGCGCTCAATGTATGTTGGAGAAAGATTGAGTTGGTTACCGTTAATTTCAGCCATAGTGTAGATGCGTGTGATTTCTTA